GAACCGGGCCGCCCTGCGCGGCAGTCCAAGTGCTCCGCCCTCGCCGACCCATTTCCCACATCCCGTCACAGCCACGCCATCTCAGGTCCACGGGACCGCCCCAGGCTTGCTGACCAGCCGGGAGGGCTCACAGGACTCAGCCGACAGCTGTGCGCAAGGGTCGGCTTTGTTACCACCAAAGGATGCACAGAAAGCCAGCCGAGGGACAGGGTGATGGGCAACGCCTAGAGGAGCAGGCAGGAGCCAGGAGTGGAGCCACACGGGACACACTCAGTTCCTCCAGCACCGAATCTGTGACAGCACATGTGGCCTGTGTCAGCCAGGGAGCTCCTTAGGCACTCAGCCCCCAGGGTTTTGATTGGAGGCCGGTCACATGGGCCCCTCTGCCTGGCACACACCGAGCTGCCAGACTCCCAGAAAGGAAGCAGGCGTTCGGCATAAACCACACTGTTTGCAGTTTATGCACAAAGGGCCGCTCGGCATTCAGGGGCCGGCGGAGCCCTCCTGACAGCGAGCTCCCAGATGCCAGCCAAGGGCCAGCCTGGCTAGCAGGCCTCTCGAAGGGTCCCCTGCTGGGCCTGCCCTGTGAACCGTCCGCCCAGTCACCGCTGATCTGAAAGGGGCTCCTGTAAACAATCGGAAGCTGAAGGCAGACTGTGCCGGAGAACCTGCACTCGGTCTGTATTTTCCTGGAAACCTTCCATTGGCTGGTGGTCCACAGCCCTGTCCTTACACAGCGAGGTCTGTGCTTGCCATTTCACTTTTGTATGTTTCATTCACTGAGAGAGAGTGTTGAAAGGTGCACACCAAGGTGGTAAAACCGCAAACGAAAGCGAGGGAATGCGCGTGGGTTTTGCCCCCCCCAAACCCCAATCTCCTTTCCCAGCGGTCACAGTGGTCACTAGGCACAGGGCTGTCCACAGGCTCCGCAGTCCTCGCCATCCCCTGCAGGTAAGTATGGCCATGTGACTCAGGTCTTGCTTATGGACCCGCAGCAGAAGCGATGGCAGCTCTGGGTCTGGGTCTGAGACTTCAGGGAGCCATTCCCATTCCTGCCAGCTGGCACCCAGCCATGCCATGACGCAGCTTCAACCACACAGCTGGTGAGATGCCCAGTGACGGTGGAAAGCAAAGACACAGAAATCAGGTTCCCAAGTGACCCGGTGGAGCAAGAGCTGCCCCACCCACCTGCACTGTTCACGTCAGACCAGCAGGTGAGAAAACGGCATTTCTTCCTTCAGTGTTGAATGCCTTTGTGTCCCTCCCGCCCTAATAATACAAAATGATAACAGACGACAGAGTGGGAGCCACTCAGAGAGGCCACAGGTGCTTCTAAGATCTGCAAATGTTCTGTTTCTTAACCTGATGGGTACGCTGGTATTGGTTTTATCCGCCCCCCCCCCTTTTTTTTTAATCCTCGCCTGAGGATATTTTTTTCATTTTTTATATATTTTTCAAAGAGGAAGGGAAAGGAATGGAGAGATAGAAACATCAATGATGAGAATCATTGATCTGCTGCCTCCTGCACACCCCCTACTGGGGATCAAGCCCACAACCCAGGCATGTGCTCTTGGCCAGAATTGAACCTGGGACCCTTCAGTCTGCAGGCCGACGCTCTATCCGCTGAGCCAAACCAGCTAGGGCCAAGGATATTTTTTCCCCATTGAATTTTGGAGAGAGTGAAAGGAAGAGGGAGAGGGAGAAACACCGATGTAAGAGAGACACATCAATAGGTTGCCTCCTGCATGCTCCCGACTAGGGCTGGGAGCCTGCAACCAATGTACATGTCCTTGACTGGAATCAAACCCGGGACCCTTTGGTCCACAGGCCAACGCTCTATGCACTGAGCCAAACCAGCTAGGACTATTTCCATTCTTTTAATTATACACATATATATTTTACATAGTCTTTTGCATATGTATATGTGTGTATATGAATCTTTCAACAATTTTAATTTTCTTAAATTGATTTTGGAGAGAGAGGAAGGGAGAGAAGAGAAAGAGAGATCAATTTGTTTTCCACTTACTCATGCATTCATAGGTTGATTCTTGTATGTACCTGACCAGGGATCAAACCCACAATCATGGTACATCAGGATGACACTCTAATCAACTGAGCTACCCAGCAAGGGCCTGCATCCCTACACAATTTTCAAAAGAAAGTTAAAAACACAGTAATAAGCCCAGCCAGCATTGCTCAGTGGTTAAGCATTGACTTATGAACCCAGAGGTCACGGTTTGATTCCTAGTCAGGGCACATGCCTGGCCTGCAGGCTCAATCCCCAGTGTGGGGTATGCAGGAGGCAACTGATCGATGATCTCTCTCATCATGGATGTTTCTAGCTCTTTTTTCCCCTCTCCCCTCCTCTCTCTAAAATCAATTTTATATATATATATATATATATATATATATATATATATATATATAATCTAATAATCCTATCTAATAAAAGACAAAAAGAGTAATTGACCGTACCTTTGCTATGCTTCCCATTGGCTAATCAGGGTGATACGCAAATTAACTGCCAACCAAGATGGCGGCCGGCAGCCACGCAGCTGAAGCGAGCAGGAGGTTTGCTTGCTCCAGTGATGGAGGAAGCCAAGGTTCCCCGCCTGCCGCAGCCCAGCTCTGAGCTCCGTAAGCAACAAAGTTTCAATTATAGAAGGTAAACAAACCCCAGATACCTGCTTTCAGCTGGCGGTGGCCACGGAGCTGGAGCCGGCTCTCAGCTCCAGTGACAGCAATGAAGTTTCTA